TGTATTTCTATGCAATACACCTTAACATTTTTTTTAATTATTTTTTGATTATGCAGTTTTACTTTGAAAAGAGATGAACAATGAGGCCTATAGTACTATATTTCCCTTATTTTTTTCTTTTGGCGCTTTGAGCTAATTATTTTCTGGGCAACATTCAGTGCGTCACTTGCTTGAGCTGCTATATGTGGTTCAACCCCAGACACACTCCATGCTTTTCCAGTAACTGCACTCAAAACGGCTTGGTTGGGAATGGAAGCATACAAGATGCTATTCCCAATTTGATATGTTCCACTTGAAATGGCACCTCCAATAGTGGGCTCTCCAATTACAGTGGCCCTTTTCAGTTCTTTCATTGTTCTAGTGAATGCCTCAGCAGCTGATCCAGTTATGTGACTCGTCAAGATGTAGATGTCTTTCTGAGAGCCGTATCTCTGTCCTAGCACTTCTGGAAGGGTCATAACCTTTGTCACATTTGTTTTAGAGTGATCAAAAATAGTGTAAAGGTGTTTTAATGGTTGTGCATCAAAGAAATAGGTGCAAAGTAGTGGAATTGCTGTGGAATAGCCGCCTGTGTTATATCTCATGTCAATTATGAGCGTGTCCGTGTTCACCAGCTTGTTCCATACAACTTTGATGAGCTGGGTACCAATTGCTCCCAGAACCTTTATGTCTTCCATCATGTCAAATCTCAAATAACCAATATTTCCAGACAGTACCTCTACTTTGAATAGGGCATCAATGATGAACCCTACCTCTTCAGGGGAAGGGATTTTGGGAATGTTATGAAGGGATTCTGGTTCAATATCACAGTTGAAAATGTGCAGTCTGTGATCACCTGAGGTCTCTTGGAGATCTGCGGTGAGTTGAGATGCAAGAGATTCATAGTCAACAACTGAGCGATAAAGTCCTTCGGTTAGTTTGGACTGTAACAGTCTACTCACTTTAGCTGCAACCTCAGGTACAGTGTAATGCTTTTCCAAGAGATCTCCAGCTTCTTGCACCAAATCCAGAATGTCCTTGTGAAATGCAATGATTTCATGAGCTCGCTCAACTGCATCTTCAGCAAGCACGATGGCATCAGGAACTACACCGCCTCCAAGCCAGCATTCTCCATGTACATCGATTAAATTTATGACAGGGACAATAATGGCAAGGTTTGTTTCTTCAACTTGAAAAGTCCTGGAGTGAAGAAGCGTTCCAGAACTGATTTCCCCTACAACAGTGCCTCGGTGCAGGGACTGCATCAGGTAAGCAAACTCTTCTCCAGCTTCAGCTGTGTAATAGCTAGTCAAAACATAAATACCCTTTCTGGAACCATAGGAAGGCCCAATGATGTTACGGAGGGTGTGAAAATCCACGGTCATGTTCCGAATGCTGTCATAGATTGAAAAAAGGTGGATATTTGACGAGGTGTCAAACATGTAGGAAAGCAGAATCGGCAAGGCCTCAGTGGATCCGCCAGTGTTATAGCGCAGATCAATAATCAGGTTCTCTGTGTCTTTGACTGGTTGCCAGACCTTTTCTTTGATTCGGTCCTCTAGTCCTATCAAAATTGTAGGTGAAGGGAACCTGTCAAAGCGCAGATATCCATTGTTTCCTGATAGAATTTCCAACTTGAATAAAGAGTCAATAAGATTATCAAAAGATGAAGGGGTTTTGGGTGTTGTATCCAGTTCTTGCCCCTTGTCAGACAATTCTTGCATTGTCTTGATATTTAAACGAGGGTCTTCAAAGACTGATTGCAGTTCATAATTAAGTTTTGCTGCCAAGTCCTCTTCAGAAATCACTGTGAAAAAGTCTGTTTTAGCAAGATGATTTAGCAAAGCTGGGATTTTCTCTTTAAATGCATAAAATTGTTTAATGATATCTGACACTCTTTTAACTGCTTTCGGTATTGCTTTCCTGACTGAAATGAGGGACTTGGCTTTGGCGATTGCTTCCTTTGGGTTGATGCTGACGGATGGCGAAACCCCGGTCACCTCCCAACTCTGTCCTGTGACAGGGTTCACAGATCTAGCAACAGGGACCGTAATATAAAACCCAGAGTCCCCAACCCTTAGCTTTTCAACCTTAACCGACCCTCCAGCTGACCTTTCTCCAACAATGATGGCTCTTTTTAGATGTTTTAAGATGTAGGCAACAGCTTCTGCTGCGCCCATGGTGCGCTTGCTGATTAAAACAATCAGCTCTTTTCTTTTCCCATATCGTTCACCCAGGAGATTCGGAATTGTCCATAGCGCCATTGTAGTGTTGGTAGGTCGTTCATAGATTGTGTCTATGTGCAAAAGTGGGTCAGAGTCAGAAAAATATGAAACAATGTATGGCACACCAGATATCTCTCCGGCTGTGCTGAAACGCAGATCAAAGATCATCGCTGACGTATGTGCAACCTTCTTCCAGATGTTGTCGTGAAGGAGTTGTCCCAGTTTTGCCACAGTCTCCTGACCTATAATACGGTCAATCCTAAGGTAACCGACGTTGTTATCCATCACCTCCAGTTTAACAGTATTCCTGATTAGCCGTATCAGCTGTTCAGTGGGCAGCGACTGAAGTGCAGGTGGCGTGATCGGAGTATAATTAGGCTCGTAAGACACGGTCAGTCTGGGGTCATTGAGTGCACCTTGAACGCCGGCAGTCAGAACACCTGCCAGTGTTTTCCGATCAGAGATGTGTAGGATCTCTCCGCTGCTTATAGCTTGTTGAATTGCCTCCTGCATACCAACTAGATTCTCTGGGAAGCAGTAGTTTTCGAGCAGAATTTCAGCCATATCCAAGACAAGTGCTGGCTGAAATGATGCATCGGTGAGTAGGACCCGACAAGCGATTAGGATCAGGGCAAAAAATCTTACAGTCCCTGCCATCTTTTGTAGTTGGTTGTTGAATTTTGTCTAAAGCAAACGTTTTTGTTCATTCATTTGGTGAAGAGGTCCTTTGTTAGATGGGACTCTGTTTTCTCTGCTAGGTTTTTGACAACAGCAACCACATAAGAGGCTTTTGCTCTGAATAAACCTTTAATCGCATTATCTGCAGTGCATCAGCAATGCAATCACAGATAAAAATCAATAATTGAAAATGTTGGAGAGGATATAAAATCTCTCTGAATACACAGCTTTTTCATGACTTAAAGGGACAGTTCACCCCCAAATCTCACATACGTCTATGGAACATTATATTTTGAAATTTCTTTTCTTTTCCAGTATTGTTTTGGACCCCATTGACTCTAATTGTATGGACAAAAACATTTGAAACATTCTTTAAAATGTGTGTTTCATGCAGATTTGTAATGACATGAGGGTGATGACATGATAAATGATGACAGAATTAAAATTTTTGGGCAAAAACAAGATGCTAATTTTTAAGGAAAGTGTATCATACTCTATTATGGAAGACAAATTGCTTAAGCACTGTATATTTATTAGAAAGTTTAGCACAATTAACTAGTTTATTTAGTCTTAATGTTTTTGACCACATCAGATTTATTGAAAACATTTTAAGCAATAAAACATTAAAAATAGTCAACTGAAATTCTGGAAATTATATTACAGCAAATGTATGTGTTTACACATAATGTCTTTGGATTATGTTCCTTGCAGCCCTGTCTTCACTGCATGAGGAAAATAAGGTCAAGCTTTCAAAGGTAACGTCTAGGTCAGGCTAATGACATAATTGCACAGGTGAACAGGTGCTCGTTTAATGAACATCAAGATGCACTTGGCTGGCCTCATTACATGAAACCATAACAAATTCCTTACCAGTTGATTTAGTACAGTAACCGTATATTAATTTGATTGTATAATCATCAATGCATACTCTTTTCTGAAAGAGGATCATTAATTAACTCTTTGGCAAAAACTGTGTTATTCACAGGCCAAATAGTCATTGTTGTTTTTTTAAAATCTGCTTCCAGATTTTCTCCCTTCATTCTTTTCTAGCATTTGCCTAAATATCAGAGCATTAGTGTGCATTTAGAGACCCTTGCCACTTTTACAGGATGAAATTATGTAACTCCACACTCACTCAACACTAATTGGTTCTGCCATGAAACCATAACAAATTCCTTACCAGTTGATTTAGTACAGTAACAGTATATTAATTTGATTGTATAATCATCAATGCATACTCTTTTCTGAAAGAGGATCATTAATTAACTCTTTGGCAAAAACTGTGTTATTCACAGGCCAAATAGTCATTGTTGTTTTTTTTAAATCTGCTTCCAGATTTTCTCCCTTCATTCTTTTCTAGCATTTGCCTAAATATCAGAGCATTAGTGTGCATTTAGAGACCCTTGCCACTTTTACAGGATGAAATTATGTAACTCCACACTCACTCAACACTAATTGGTTCTGGACTGCTAATCTTTCTTTATCTTTTAATGCTCAGAGTCTTATGCAATTCTATCTGCTGATTTCATGTGGCCAATCAGGGATGGCCAATCTCATTTTAAGATGGCTGGAGTTTTGTCCAGTGGATCTTATGGGAGGAAATGTTTCTAAGCTGGAGAAAGAAACAGGTTGACTGTCTGTCCCCGAGGGGTTTGGAAAGGATGTCTTGGTTTGGAGAAATAAATGATAACAATTGACCAGAATCATTCAAACAGTATGATGTTTGTGCCCTAATAAGTTACAAGAGTAGATTTTGTTTATTGTTTGAGAATCATGCAACTTAAGATCTAATGAATCTTACAAACATTCCTTTTAGGGTTGTACAAATATATTAGTCAGTAACATCTGAAGCTGTTTAATTGCTTTACCGGACTGAAAACCTTCGCTAGCAGAGAGCGCTCACCATACACCACAATGAGCTTGACTTTAAAATGAATTTGGGGAGCCCAAACTGAAATGACTTTGATGTGTTTTATTGATAAAATATAAAAAAAATCTACAAATTAATAAAATAACCATTGTAAAACTAAATATTTTGTAAATATATATGCTGGAAATACATAAACAAAAACAATGGATTATATACAATTTTTGTGAGAATATTTTTTATTTAAATATAAATAAAAGAAAACAATTAAATAGATGGAAAATGTAAGCATAGTAAGTACAGGAAGATTGAATACAATGCTAAGTTATATCCATGGGAGTCACTAGGGGCAGTGTTTTAGGGCTCAAGCCCTGAATGTTTTGGTCTGTAACTAGTGGGAGTTATTGCGTAAGTGCATAAATTATACAAGCATTTCTGTAAATATTTTTGTCTGGATCTACCCAGAATAAGCCAGTTAAGGGGTGGGATGACAGGGGCATTGGCCCTAGCAAAAAACACTTAATTACTAAAGAATTAGATATAGATTTATCTAGTGACCCTAGCTGTTATTTTAAAATGCTTTGAAGCTGTTCTTGTAGATGTGGACCTGACACGAACTCTATGCAAGTACACAAAATACATGCAAGTTCGTTTTACATGGACAGTGCTGTCAGCTCCTTATACTACTTTAATGGCAGTTTTGCTGAGCAAGTCCGATCTTACAAATATTTTTTATAACAGTCTACCTGGGCAATACCACATCCTGATTAATGGCACAAGTATTTGGGGCCGATACTCTATCACCCCCTTGAGGTTTCTTGCTAGTATGTACAACAGGACCACATGCTTGGCCAAGCATTGACATCTGTTTTTGTGTAGAGTATGTTTCTGTATTAAAATGTAAAACAAAAATCTCTAAGGGGGATTATAGCCCCTGATGTTTTGGTCTATGTCCCAGATGCTGTCAAATCCTAGAAACGCTCCTGGGTATAACCTCAGCTAGTTCACATAAATGAAATGAAAACACAATACCATTTAAATCAAGTTAGGAAAGCTGACTTTAACCAAAACCTCTTAATTGAAAAATTTTAACCTTTCAATTAGTTCATGTTAGTTAATGTATTAACTAACATGAATGAACAATGCATTTATTACAGTATTTATTAATATTTGTTAATGTTAGTTAATAAAAATACAGTCATTCATTGTTAGTTCATGTTAACAAGCACGACTTTTGATTTTAATAATGCATTAGTAAATGTTCAAATTAACAGGAACTAAGATCAATAAATGCTGTAGAAGTTAACCTTATTCTAAAGTGTTACCAAAGTTTTTGTGCAATGGAAAGGCTCCATGGATGTTAAAGGTTCTTTGTTTGTAAGAGCATAATGGAAAAACGTACTTCTGATTATTAAAATGTTCTTCACAATAAGGAGAAAATGGTTCCCAACATGGTTCTTTTGTTGCATTGCTACAAACCCCCTTTTCAGAACTATTATGGGAATGATAAAACAAATACTGTTGCAAAGATATTTTTTACAGATGCATGGATAAGCAGGCAAAACTACCTACATCCACACTTTGCTACTTTCATCTCCTCGTAGAGGTGTCGGACCGTGATGACACCCTTTTCTTGATACATGACTGCAATTGGATCCAGCTTGGTTGGGACGCAACATGCCATGTTTGCCTTTTTGGGATTGCTCAGGTTAACCAGAGTTTGGATGATAGCATGTTTAGAGGGGGTTACATCGTCTGTCAGGGGGAAATAACACACGCCTTTACACTCGTAAGCGTCATACTCGGGCGGGGCCACGATCCATTTATCCCATCCGATGTCTTTGAAGTTCACCTTCAGAGAAGTTCTCCGACAGTAATTGTTTGTTACTTTTCTCTTCTTCCTGTAGTGCTGGTTCACAGGAACACGATTGCCCCAAAACACCCGTTGCTTCTCATGAAGAAGCATCTCTTTTACCTCTTTCATTGACTCTCCCTTTCTGTTCCCGAGATCATTTGAAAATACTATTACGACTGCCGAGCTGTTGTCCTCCAAACCCAGGCTTATGGCAAGGGATTCACAGTCTTGTTTGATCTCCACCTGAAGTTCGCCGACCCCACGTCCAGATTCGTGCCAGCTCCTGACAGCTCTGGTCACGTCAAAAGCCTCCCAAGTGTTTTCGCCCTCAGTTACGTCTCTCCCATCTAGAAGATTTAACATGTTTGCATTCTGCTCGCAATCTACATTATAAACATTGATGGATGTGAAGAGGTCAGTGCAGGTGTTTTTACTTCTTTCCCAGAGAGTGAACAGCCTCAGCTGGACTGATGTGATCTCTTCATGATTTGGGATGGAAATGTTGAATAGCAGTCTGTGTTGTGTTTTGTTGCCCTGTCTAATGGAATAAATAACATCTGCAGAGAACATGAAGTAGAGATTAATAAACCTTTTCACCAGTAAACAAGTCACAAATATAATTTTTAGTATGGAAAAAGTGAATGAGTCCTGTCATCAGAAACATTGACTCCTCACCTTCCCAGAACTCTGATGTATGTACCTCAGAGTTTGTGAGCTTTCTGTATGTACTTACCCTGTATGGCGAAGCTTCGGATGACATCCGACCGAGGGATGGAAGTCTTGTCAGAAGCATATTTATTATAGAGTTCGATCATGAACTGAGGAGGCTGAACCTTTCGTTGTTCTTGCGGCACGCCTGATAAATTCAGCTTCCTCAAAAAATCTTCCTTCATGAAGCCCAAATAGTTCTCCAATTTGGAGTTAAAGTCATGTTGTTCCTCAAGGCTTTGTTCTTCTGCTTGAATGAACATTGTGTCTTCCAAACTGGCGATTTCACCTAAAGATTTCCCATCGCAAAGCCCAACTGAAGTAGCAAAATTGATGGACATCAGGAGGAGCAAATATCGTAAACCCTGCATCTTCATTTAGTTTCTAAAATGGATAGGTGACTCTCCGCTGCAAGTTTTACATCCGACATTCGTTTGTGGACGATCCTTTGAAATCGGGGTTCCTCAAGTGAACCTCAGGTTAACTCCCATGCCACACACTCTCTGGAAACCAGAACAGTAGCATAGCTATTCTTATCTTTGACACTGATGTTGTAGTTCGAGCTTTGTTATCTTGAGGAAGCTTGTAGTTAATGAGGGTTCTGTAAACACTTTGGGAACAGACTTTGAAAACTAATGAGTGAGATTTTAACAACCCTTATTTACAGGGTCAGACTTCAGGCTGTTTTTAGAAAAGCAACTCCATCATATGTTTGTTAAGATGCTTCTACTAATCAGCCTTTGCTATGATAAATATTAACATTATAGATTCCATTTTCATTTAGTCAACCACCCACTAATATTCAAAAGCTGGAATCTGGCTGTGCAAGGGTTAATGTGTCTGCGTTGACCTTTGCCCTGTTGGTGCAAACAATCTATGCTCCTCACCACAACTCATTAGGTCTTTATTCACAAAAAAAATCCTCCAGGATTTCAAAAAAGAAACACACACACACACACAAATATACCAAAACAACAGTGGTTGAAGATTCTTGTTAAAGAAATATTTGCAAAAAAGTAACAATACAGTTTAAAAAAATAAATAATTACAAATGACATGTAGTTGTTATTAAATACAAAACTCTCCCTTAATGAAGTTTCATGAATCTTTGACAAAACTTCTGAGATGTTATTTATTTTAAAACTTAATTCGTGATTTAATAATTTTTCTATAGCTATGGCTGTTGTAATTTACAGGGTCTGGCCTCATAGGGATAAAACTCCTTGATATGAATGTCTAATCACAAAGCACTAGATGGCAGCATTATGCAGAATTTTCTTCATATTGTCCGTCTTCTCACAAATGACCAAAAATGATCTGCAGTTTTCTTTTCATGCATGATTCCAGGTGTTTAAACCCTAGGTAAATCTTTAGCCAACAAGCCTGCAAATCAAATAAAAGACCCCCTGTTTAAGGATTTATGGTAACACTTTACAGTAAGTTTCATTTGTTAACATTAGTTAACTTCTTTAGTTAACATGAACTAACAATGAGTTTTAAGATCAATTTATTGATCTTAGTTAATGCTAATTTCTACATTTACTACTAATAATTTTTACATTTAAAAGTCGTCTGTTAACATTAGTTATGCACTATGAACTAACATGAACAAACAATAACACTATCACTAACAAAAGTTTATAAATGCTGTAAAATGTTCATGCTGACTAATGCATTAACTAACATTAACAAATGAGAACTTATTGTAAAGTGTTACTGGATTTATTTACAGTAATCCATTTAAATCGCTATGCCATTTTCAGTTTGCCATGGATTTGTTTCAAAACGAAAACAGTTCGGCTTACTATATGTTACAAATAAGGATTATATACAATTCATTCAAAAATAAAGAGTGGAAAGAGGATACAATGTTTGTGTGCAAAGATCCTATATTATTTGAGGTGCTGAGGTCTTACTTGCAGAGATAAAAGTAAATTTTTGTCATATGGCGTGCTTCGGCAATCCCTTGAGCTGAGTTCATTGTGTTTTGCAGGTTTTGTATATCTATGTCTCTTAGCTACCTTGCTAGTTTATCGACAGGCGCAGTTCTCCACAGACATGCTGGGATAGACCTTCACGACCATGTTTCTGCTGGAGTCCAGGAAGAGCACAGCCAGAGAGCTCATCTTGTCCGGTACGCAGCATGGCTCTGGGACTCCAGGGACGATCCCCACGGCTCTCACTATACTCTGGATGGTGGCGTGATTGGATGGATGAACAACCTGCATTTGGAGAAGTAAAGGTTGAAGAAAAACTGCTGTCTGTTAACTAGATCATATAACAATGCCTCAATGCCTTTATGTTAACAGCAAGAATGATAGCTATAAAGTAGTGATGTAAAGATTCACTCAACTCATGATTCGATTCACAATTATTTTTTTTAACAACATGAGATTTAAGACCAATTATAAATTAAATGTGCCTTTTATTATTGCTTGGACAAAATACTGTACATTTCTTTGTGAAATTGAAATATACTTATACTGCACTTATGAACTTTAATATACATTATACAGAGGCAAGATGAAAGAAAAAATACCATCGAAAGACAGTAAGTTCCCCTCAGACATACTTTCATATAAACTCCTACCCCTAACTGAATCGTGATTTGTTTAGCATCTCAACCGATTTGAATCGTCACATATTCAAATCGATTTTCAACCGGCTCGCGGTTAATCATAACATCCCTACTATAAAGAGAACCATAACGATAACTACATTAGCGACAACACACAATAATGTTCTGCTGCAGTTTTGTCATGTGTTTTGGAGCAGGCCAACCGATTTGAATCGTCACATATTCAAATCGATTTTCAACCGGCTCGCGGTTAATCATAACATCCCTACTATAAAGAGAACCATAACGATAACTACATTAGCGACAACACACACTAACGTTCTGCTGCAGTTTTGTCATGTGTTTTGGAGCAGGCTTTAGAGAGTGATTTGCAGGGAGGGTGGGATCTTATGCTTTCAAAGCTAGCTTGCTATTGCTAGCCTTTCCAAAATCGCCTACCCCACCTTTAAATGCTCATGAATTTTTTAAAGTCAGGTGAATTCAGTGTTTTTATCATTCATCAGTAAGGAAAAACACGTTTTGAAACGGATTCCAACATTATTGTTCCTTTGTGTTTTTGTTGTTGTGGTGTGAACTTTCCTATTCTCCTATTCTTAAAACGTTATCTTTGTCATTTTAGTTATCATCCTTGGTGTGAATGGGCCAGTAGTCCTATAATGAGAACTATAACACACAAAATAATATTACATTTTAAAATGGTATGTAAGGATGTAATGATGCACCCCGAGCTGGTTGAAAATCGATATAAATATGTAACGATTCAAGTTGGTTGAGATGTTAAATTAATCACGATATACAACTAGGGTGGGGATTTATATAAATGTGACCCTGGTCCACAAAACCAGTCCTTTATTTAATACACAAGTTTCACAATTTGAGTTGTCTTTTCCACGACATTCTGATTTATTGAGATGCACCTGCACACTGTATGGGTCAAAATGATGATTTTTCTTTTATGCCAAAAATCATTAGGATATTAAGTAAAGATCATGTTCCATGAAGATATTTTGTAAATTTCCTACCATAAATATATCAAAACTTAATTTTTGATTAGTAATATGCATTGCTAAGAACTTCATTTGAACAACTTTAAAGGCGATTTTCTCAATATTTAGATTTGTTTGCACCCTCAGATTCCAGATTTTCAAATAGTTGTATCTCGGCCAAATATTGTCCTATCCTAACAAACCATACATCAATGGAAAGCTTATTTATTCAGCTTCCAGATGATGTATAAATCTCAATTTCGAAAAAAGGACACTTAAGACTGGTTTTGTGGTCCAGGGTCACAAATGTATTTCTAAAGGGAACTGACTGTCTTCAGAAAAGTTTAGATGGTATTTTCTTTAATCTTGTCCCTGTATAATGCATATTAAAGTAATGTTTATAAGCGCTGCGCTGCTTTGAGTGAATTTGTGTTCTCATTCAGCCCGTCTGCTGGTTTTGTTTCATTCAGATGTTTATGTAGTATAGTTTCACAAAGCTAAAGGTCGACCATTATGATTTTGCTTTACATTTTAAAATGATGCATCATCTTTGTTTTGATTGTGATTAAAATGCAGTGGTTGCCTCTCATTTTAAACGGAAAGAGCACAGGTAAAGCCTTAGTTTGTTTTTATGAAAAGGTTTCTTTTATTTGTATTATTTGGGATTTTAGTTTTTTTTCAATTCAGTTTTGTTATTTAACATATTTCAGTTTCACAAAGAAATTGCAGCATTTTGTCTGAGAAATAATAAAAGGACACATTTTAATTTATAATTTGTCTTAAATATCATTTGCTGAAAAAAATTGTATTGTGAAATCAGTATTGTGAATCGTATCGCATTGTGTGTTGAGTGAATCGTTACAGTCCTGGGAATTGTATATTTACGAGTTGGAAAGTCGTAATTATGACGTCAGGTGCGTTCAGGTCACTTTGGTTGGAGCAAGATGGCGATGTACCATTTTCACCTAAAATTCAGCAAGATTTTTTAACTGTTTTATTATAAGTGAAACTCGGGGCTTAAAGAAATTTAGTTTCCCACTCATAATTACGCCTTTGTGGTGGCGTTCATGTGCTTTCAGCTCGTAAATACAATCTATCTGACATGACTTGAATGCACCATGTTCTACTACCAAATTTGCATAATGATTATATGGACTATAATTGGTTCTTATAACATGGCACTATGAATACTTTATTCTGATTGGTCAGTTGCAGCATGAGGACCTCAAGCGATCCCATTGGCTCAAAGAAGTTTTAACGGACGCTCTCTTTAATGCCTAATTACAATTCCTACAAAATTACTCTATGATAGGCTATATGTTGTTCGAACTACATTATAATGCCATTAATGTCTGTTTTAGTTATCTTACATACTAGCATAGCATACAGATTTGTGATTAGCCTGATAGCTTAGCTTATTTGCATTTACAGAAAATGTACTGACTGTTTTCAGTGTAATTTAAGTGTTAAATGTCCAAATATTTCAATTATGAAAAGAACAATGTTAAAGGTCAATGCACACTGACCTTTGGGATTGGGAATCCACATGTTCCTGCGCAGTAGTAGGCGTCAAATGCTTTCGGAGCCAATATCCATTCGCTCCAACCGATGTCGGCAAAGTCCACCCTCAGGTAACGACGCGAACACATTCTCGGCTCACTCCACTGCTTGCGTCTGGCTTTTTTCATGGTCTTCTCGTCAAAGCTGAGCTCCCTTGACCCTCTCAATCCCTCGTGATTTTCCTGACCTTTTGACAGGGTTTTGGGCTTTTTTGCAAAAAAGGCACCGTCCCATAATTCCCTGTTCTTAAGATCGTTGTATTGGACATCAGGTAGGTAGTTACTCTGCAAGTGTTCCACTTCCCTCCTAATTCTAGAATTTAAAGTAGCTGAGGGCGCTTTGGTCCTGG